TAATTTGGTTTACTCTGATTGGTGTTTAAAAATCAATGTTGTTGTGAGACTGGTCAATGTGTGTCTGAGAAGGGGCAATTCCCTCTATTCTTTTGTTAAATTCGTGGGATTGTGAAATCACCGTTAGATACACAACAGTAATGAATGTCTACCCCAGTTTATGTAGCTACTCATCATATTTATTTTACTTCTATTGCTAGAGAACTTAAGATGACCTTAATAAACATTGCTTTCCCCTTATATATAACGGCGCCGCTGGTGTAGTGGTATCATGCAAGATTCCCATTCTTGCGACCCGGGTTCGATTCCCGGGCGGCGCACTTGTTTTGTTCCAGAATTGGTTTGTTGAATATTCGAACCTTATCATGCCCTATCTATGCGTTCCTATCAACTCCATTTAAACGTACCGTCTACTCCCTCTGGCTCCGCCACGAGTATTTCCCTAATGTGTCGGACTGTTATTACCGCTAATATTTCTGATTTCGCGATTAGGCTAATTCTTCAGTTATTCAAAGGTACCAAGTCACTAGCTATAAGTGCAGTTTGTGGTAGATGCTGAAGCACATTCTTTGTGCGTGGGAGAAAAAGCGCTTGATTTTGGCTTCATTTCAGCGCGCAGGCTGACGCCGCTGACGCCGCTCCTCCGCCATCTTCAACTTCCTATTGTTTGCATCAGACTGAGGCTGTCTGCGGTGTGTGTATGAGCAGAATCGGCCACCGATTTATCATTTCATAGTAGATTGCGTAACGTTGTAGCCTTTACGTTCGCAATCGCTTAGGTTCAGCACAAACATTTGTATGTCATTGGACTAAAGACCTCTCAGGACCTGAGCACTAAACCTTGATGATGGAGGACGATCAACCCAGAACCTTGTGAGTAGCCGCGGCCATGTCTATGCTCTGGAATGAGAAGGCTCCGAGTAACCACAGTGCCTCCGAAATGTTTCCACGTTGTTTCAGTTAAAAACTGTAAAGTCTTGCAATTTAGACACGTGGGCATTTACTTCTCAATGTGACTTAATGTAAATTACATGACATTTCATGGCAACATTGGCGCAAGGTTGTATTTGATTTAGTCGTATATATAGACGAAACAGTAACGTTAACAAAATGAAACTGAGGGGCTCACGCTACTGAAGGCTAGGTTAATTAGCTGTCGTTTCAAACGCAGGTGGCCAGTCACTTCTATAATCCTCATGTTTTCATTATGTGCTACTTATATTCGCAAAAGTACCCCTTTTATCCTACAATTGTCAGGAATTAACCAGACCCTCACGAAAAGTATATAATTCCACAAACTACTGTTAGTGTTAGCTGCTAGTCTTCTTAGCATGAGGCCTGTTTGACCGGCTGGCGTTATCTTAGCTAGCTGGCAGAGCAGCCACGTCAACGCTCGGAGAGACGGCACAGGGTTGTACCAGTAAGGGGGCGACCATACTCGTGCTGTCTGTGTAAAACTGTAACTATTCCCAGCAATATCTCGTTCACTGTCACCGTCGTTCTGTGTTAAAACGAAGAACTGTTATGAGATGTAGCTAGCTCGGGTAACTAGCCTTTGTTTGCATGCCACTTCCTGTTTAACAAAGACTCAGTTCAATTCTCCTTGTTTGCAGGTATGTAGGGAATCTGTCCAGGGATGTCACCGAACCCCTCATTCTGCAGGTCTTCACACAGATAGGACCCTGCAAGAGCTGTAAAATGATAGTTGATGTGAGTGTTATCTCCTCTGGTGTATATATTGTTTGTTTATAGAAAATGGCATTCAGTGGTCTGAAAGGTTGTGGTGCTGCTCAAGTCTCAGTCTGTATGTGCTTGATATAGTTTCCTTTCCCAGCCCTTTACATCCAAGATACCATAGGTGGCTCTTGTCATCTGCAGTGATTCAATTGTCATTCTTGATGTAGAATCCATATCACTGTTGTTTTCCTGTTGACAGACAGCCGGAAATGATCCATACTGCTTTGTGGAGTTCTATGACCACAGGCATGCTGCTGCCTCATTGGCAGCCATGAACGGAAGGAAAATAATGGGTAAGGTAAGCTATCGTATCTACAGGGTGAGTGGGGATGGGTGGGCTTCTGGTGTGGAGCATTTAGCCTGTGTGCTTTCTTACAAAACAGGTGGTGGACTGCTAGCATTTATATGTCATTAGGCAGATAGGGTTTTCGAGCTGAAAGGGGGAAGCTGTTGGAGCCAGGGTACAAGTGAGGTCTTAATGTTTTTACATTACCATAACTCTCTGTTGGTAAAACATGACCTCTTAAACCTAATGGTCTTGAAATATATGAAGCTGTGGTGTTAGCTCTGAGAATGTGGCTCGAATGTTTCAAGCAAAGTGAGATTTGATAAGATGATAATGACACATCTCATCTCATGGAAAAACAAAGTCTGGGAGGAGCTGGATAATCTAGAAAAACATAAATATACACAGTTTAATCTCCAACATTTAAAAAAACCTCCGGGCCTTACAAATTATAGTGGTGTTGGATGGTCTAATTTTTAAATTTTAGATTTGTTTCTAGACTCTGTTCCGGGATGCCAGTGACCACCAATGTGCATTTTATTGCCAACCACTATGGATGACTTGTGTAACTCTGTTTCATACAGAACCTGCATTTATTAGTTATTAGCTCACCATTAAAGTGTTTCAACATTGCATTAACATCTACTTCTTAAATTGCGTGATCCACAAACGGTAAACTGACTTGCAGTTTTTGCACTGTGTCACTTGACATACACAGAAGAGCAGTAAAATATAGTGGTTAGTTTTTTTTTTTTTTTTCGTCGGCCTTTAAATCATACACCCTGTAAATGATGTAAACATACCCCACCTGGCCTGTTCTTTCTCTGTCCCTCTACACAGGAGGTCAAAGTGAACTGGGCCACGACACCAACCAGCCAGAAAAAAGACACAAGTAGTAAGTACAAGTGCCCATCAGTGAGGATGTATACTTTGACACTGGCCTGGAAAAGTCAGATTATGTAGACTATAAATATCAATTGTACATATCTATTGGGAAATTAGTACTGACTGTACATACTCTGCACTGCTATTATTGCACTTCTGGTTAGATGCTAAACTGTGTTTTGTTGCCTTGTACTTGTACATGTATAATGACAATAAAGTTGAATCTAATCTAGTGATGGGCAAATGATACCGAGGCTTTGG